TAGATGATTCTTAGCTTTAAGAATTTGAATGAAGTATGGGAGATTCTAAAGTGTTGAAATGATAGAAGTTAGTTAAAATGGTTGTAGTTAAGTTTGGTGGTATGAAAGGAACTTTGTATGAGAAAATTTAGTGAACAGTTGATGATTTTTGGGTTTGAATAGTAAATTTTGGGTTTTTACAGATTATGCAGGGGGAACCGATTCCCTATGGGTAGGGTATCGATACCCCCTAAAGGAAAAGTTGAAGTTTGGTTCATTAAACTCGTTTAAGCTATTAGTATCAAGTTATAAGGTTTAGGCTTTTGATAATTGTCTCAAAAATTATGTTTATGTAGATATCGAGCCTAAACGAGTTCCGGAACAAGTGACAAGTAAGAACGATTGAGGGATTAGAAACGATTGAGAAAGAGACAAGTTCTAGAATTGGTTCAAATCCAGCAAGGCTAAAGTGAGTGTACATACTAGATAGAATTGTATGGTGAAAAGACTTGTGATAAGTCTATCTATTATAGTTAAATTCATGATTTCATTATTATGTACATGCATCCATATATATATATATTGAATTCAGTGATTTCTTGCATAATGTGTTTATGCTTTCATATGATATTATATGAAAGAATGTAATTGTCATAGAATCAATTCAGGTATGTGAAATAATGGAAATGATCATATGTGTACATGTGAAGTGAAATATGTATTTATATGAAAAGTGATGAAAGAAATATGAAAATGAGAAATGTATTAATATTTAAGCCCATGTTATTTAATATGAGAGGTGTAGGTATAATTGGCATGCCAAGAGTCGAGGGATATACAGTGGTCCTTCGGGACATAGTGGTCCTTCGGGACATATACAGTGGTCCTTCGGGACAAATATTTAGTGCCCCTAGTGGGAATTTATACAAGCTGTGGTGACAGCATATGTGCACAACCTCAGTGTACTCATTTACCTCATGTTCTCAATAATGTACATGGGCAATACAAAGATAAAGTGAAGTGAAACTTGAATAAGACGATAAATTTCATATATACATGACATGATCATATATGTTGTAGTGTAATGGATACATGCAGGTTATAATGTTACAATTGAACGGTAAGAGTGCATGTTTCATGAATTCATTGTTATATATTTTATTATGCGTCACTAAGTCTATGACTTAGCGTGTAAGTGATTTACACGTAGGTACCAAGAACCAAGAATAACATAAATAGAAGTGGCAAGAACAACAACACTGCTAGAGGATCAGATCAGAAGTAATTGATAAAGAATGTATTTTGATTTTGTATAGTATGTTAGCATGTAAGAAATGTTTTAGTATGAATGCTCTGATCGACTTTTATAACGTTTTAAAAGTATATATATAAATGGTGAATGTATAGTAATGAACGGTTAAATTTTTACGAGTTTTATATATGTGTTATGGAAGTACTGTAGCAGGGGAATCGGTACCCTGTAGCAGGGAATCGGTTCCCTGTTTGCAATCTGGAAAATTTAGCATTTGGTACTGTAGTAGGGTACTGTTCATACCATATAGTATTGTTCATAAATACGTTTTTGCCTCAAAATTTTATACCGAACATAATTTAATAGTATATTATCGTATTTTCTTAAAATAAGTTCAAATGTTTTGTTATTTTGTAAGGAAAGCTCTCCCCATATGACAACATTCGAAAGGAGTCTGAGACCTTACTTCTTCGACTACTCGACTTTTGCAAGTCCTTATCTCGAAAAAATTTCCTAAAAGTCTCAGCTAAAAAAAATCCACCAATAGCCCTAGAATGGATTGAGTTACATAGTGCCACCCAGGGTTGGAACCCACTTTTAAGTAGTTTATATGCACGCATGCATGTGTCATCACCTCATTGGTCGGAGGTCCAAAGGAAAGGGTCCATAAAGAAAAAGAAGAATCTTTTTCTTTTTCTTTTTATATTCAAATTATTAGTTTTTCTTAGAAGACCCTAGAAGATTTTCTCGGGGCTGTTCACTTTCACTTGGTCGCCTGGTATCTCGGACTCGTATTCGGGTCGGTTACAGGTTGGTGTGTTACAGAGAAGAAGAAATTTTTACTATGTCAAAAAATTACAAGATTAGTTACATATCAAAACCTTAATCTCTACTTTCTATTTATAGGAATCAAACGGATTATACTATTGTGTATCACGTAGCCTTACGACCCCTGTACCCCGACAAGCCTCACACTTCCACTATTGTTTTAATTGTAATTCCATAATCTGATCCAAGAAGAAATTAGCCCCACCTACCACTCGATCCATCCGTATACTTATAATTTTGGGTACACAAAGTGCTATTCTTGATATATCTAACTTGGGTGCACTAGGCCGACGACATGTCATTATCAAAACTTTTCTTCTCTAAAGATTTCTTTCTGTTTTTATATATAACCACCTATATTTAATTTGTTAAATCATTATTTCTTTTTAACTTGGCTTTAAACACCCTCATTTTCAAAACCTTAGACTTATAATAATGAGGGGAAGAAGAGAAAATGAAACCCTTTTCCCATTGGATGAGATTTTCTCATGTTTTAGGTGAGGAAAAAGGATATGTTTTTCATTTTTTTTAATGCTTGAGTTGGTGGTCTCAAAATTTTCTTTTAATAGTATTCCATGTAAGAAAAGTTTCCATAAATGAAATATTCTCTTTATTCCTTTAGTCCAATTAATAGAATTCCCATAATTAGTACTTCACTGCAAATCAAAATTTTCATGGTTCATATCTTGTTACACTTTTATTCCTTTAGTCCAATTAATAGAATTCCCATAATTTGAACTCAAATTAATTTAACACTAACAATATTCATGATAAATACTCATATATGAACCAAAAATCTCCATTGATCCATTATTCTCTCCTTTTTGCACAAATCACCATTTTGTCATTGATACTTCCAATCCCTTTCTTCTATATCCCCACCTTGAAATTTAAAATTCCCTCATCAACAACTAAGCATCACATTAACTAATCCCAATCTTTGATATCATTTAATTTTGGACTCAATATTTGAGATTTGGGTTTTAGTTGTCCATGATTATCTAATGCTTTGGGTGATTGTCTAGTGAATTAGAAAAGAAATTATATAGTTTAAAGTTTTTTTAAAAAAAAGAAAGATGAACCTCATTAAAAATCCTTTCGTAACTCAATCCAGCGGTAGCTAAATTGCGACAGCGGAAGGATAAAAGAGTGCTCAAAATTTATTCACGGTAACATCATACAACGAGATGTAACCATAGTTAGCTTACAAGCAACCATACCTTAGGCAAACAATAAAACCAACACTATGTGAGACTAAGATAGACGACACATAAAGAGATCTACATTCAGCAACAGACGACCTGCCCTCAACGAAACCAAAGAGGAGAGCACACAGGCAAGCCAAGAGCATCCAAGAGCCAAGTGCAAAGCACTCATCTCTGTGAAAAAGAGTAAAAGCAGCTCCACTCGGACTCTTCTAAAGAGAGCCAGGTTTAACAAAAGCGGGGGAAAATACGCCTTACTATGATGGTATAAACTCGGTTACTAATTTTTTTTAAAAACGTGTACTGGAAAATTGTGTTTGGGTAACTCAAAATAACATGATATCCAAATTTATTTATTATCAAATGAAAAGGCTTTGAAAGCACTTTAATATGTGCAGAAGAAAGAATGCTTAACCTATCATTCATATCGATTCACAAAAAATGAAATTTAAAGGCACTAGTTGTATAATTTTCAGGTTTAATATTCATTTTACACGAAAGGTTCCATACGTAGGAACATGATAATAGTATATTACAGAGGAGGGGATTCTGCATAGGGATGGACATGGAATCCGAATCTGACGGTTTCCGACCTGATTTGATCCGATGGGATCGAAGTTTTTAAAAAGATTCGAGTTCAGATCGGGTCGAATCATATTTTCTAGAAGCAGTGTTCGGGTTCGGAGTTGGTGTGAAAAATACTCGACCTAAAAATATATAATTTTATCTTATATATTTAAGGATAATTGCAATAATACTCATCTATAATAATACTCATCTATATATTATTTTTTTCAATTAAATCTCTATTTATATTGAATAAAAATAATATTTTTTAATAAATATATTATTTCGTGTTGGGTAGAATTCAAATTTTATCTCAAAAAATTAAATCGGGTTCAGGTCAGGTAGAGGGTGTATATTTTTCGAATCGAGTGCAGGATATATAATTTTCAAGTCAGATTGAATTGATAGAAAATCCGACCCGACTCGACCCATACTCATCCCTAATTTTGTACCTCACCTATCAAATTTTGCCACTTAGTTTGAGATAATCTAAAATACAACAGGTTAATATAATATTAGAAAAAACAAATTAATTATAATCAAAAAATTTATTAACGTTTTCTTTTGGGAACAAACTGAATAATACTTTAGGTTGAAACTAAAAACTTTAAACTTTCCAGAACAATTCCGTAATTGCATAATTATTCTAATTACAACTTAAAAGTTACTATCAAATCATTCAATCGATATTATTATTAATTGTATAACTTTTTAAAATAGACATGTAATATTTTAGATTAAAACTTATCGCAATGTAACATTCTTGATTGTATCCAAAATTATTATCAATTGTATAAAATAACATTTTAGATTAAAATCCATTACAAATTAACCTTAAGTTAGGCTACCGCAAACAGAAGTACCCATAATTTTGACCCAGAAGTAAACGTTATGGCTTACAACCAAACCAAATATTTTTGCATTACTTTCCACTTGCACAAAACAGGATAACTGGAAATTTAACACATTAAAGTAATGCACGAAACTTGCGAAGAGCAGCTGAATATAACGATATTATGGTCCTTAAAATGGACATTATCCCTTGTATCAATACCAAAACACTTGACATCACTTTGCTCAAACTTGCGGGGGGCAGAGGGCGAGGAACAGAAATAACCAAAGACCCCAAAAATAAAAGGAAAAGAATGAGCTTTCCCCTAACCATTTTCTTTACCAAATCAATCCAGAAAATCATGCATATGATCTAAAAGGTAGTTGGCTGCCAGTTCCTCATCCTTGTTGCAGGCAAAAAAACACTTGAAGCACTGTTGCTCTATCAAACCCCATTGATTCTAGCTGTATATCATTGCGAACCAAGCTGAGGTTATAAGACAAGATCCAATTCAAGAAATAGGTGACAATTATCTAACCGGACACCTATATTTTTTACCATTCATCCAAAACTACTACCTACTACAAGTATTTAACGCGTGGTGTTCATATATATGAACTAATCTCATTGCAATGATCATGGCTAGACCCTATCAATTAGGTGTGTTAAGTTTATTTTGAGTCGAGATAATCTGAATCGGGCAAAAATTTCCGGCCGGGTCAATTTTAGATTCTTGTCATTTCGGGTAGAACAGTTGCGGGTTCATGTTGTTTTGGGTTTAATTTGTTCATGTTTTTCAAACCGAGTCATTACAAGTTCGGATCATATTGAGTTCTACTCTCTTCAAGATCATTTTGGGCTTGAGTTGTTAGGGTTTAAATTATTTTAGGTTTGGGTCAATTCGGGTTTGAGTTGGACAGGTTCATACCAAATTGGGTTCAAATATTCAGGTTCATGTTAAAGTTGACAGATCTAATCAAGGCAAAAGAAATCGAGCAAGATATTTCTACAAACAATCAAAATCAAAGATAGCTAAGAAACGATAATGCAAACATCCAAGTCAGCTTTAAACAAACGATAATTTACCCGTTCTATGGCATCACGCTCCACGGGTGTGACTTGAACAGCTTGTGGCATTTCCTCGGCTAATTGCCCCAATAAGTTCCTATGACAACAAATAGCAAATATGCAGTCAAAGACATGCACAACTAGGCTCGAAAAGTCAGCAAATAAAAAGGACAAACTCAACCCTCTCCACCTTCAGAAGGCTCGTTAATCAGGCGAAAAAAGTCAGCCTGATGCTCTTGAATAAGTCTCATTAGATGAGGATTCTGTTTCCCCAACTCTTGAAGCATAGGCTGCAATAATAAAGAAACAAAAACCTTCAGAAAATACAGGAATAAGGAAAACACAGATGACCAGAACAACCAAGGGGTCAGAGAATAACCTGCAATATTTGTGGGTTAGCCTGCACAATTGCTCGCAAAGCTTGGAACTGAAAAAGAGAAGCAAAATGAGTGTAGTTTGAGGTAAGAAGTTGCATAAGTAAACACCAGTTAACTGAAAAAGGCCCAAGTACATCCATTTGACAAGAGAGAGACCTGTTGACTGTTGCGCAAAAAATCAAGTGTGTTGGGAAGGCCCTGTATCAAATAACAGACAATCAGGTCAACAGTTAAGTTTTCCGTCATCTAATTTATCAAATATATACTGCACTGTACCTGGGGAAAGAGGTCTACAGGATTTGCATTGGGTCCACTTGTACGAACAGCTGTCGCTTGAGGCGGCTGTTGAGGTTGTGATGCTGGGTTAGTTGTTTGCCCAGCTACAGGGGCACGAGCCACAGCAGGAGCTTCAGCTTGCTCAGGGATACCCTAAAATGTACAATAAAATTTCATAATGAAATAACAAGAAGCAACTCAACAGTAGTGAATAAAATGAATGCTTGCTATGATAAATGGAAAGGAGTATTTTTAAGTCATAAAGACCAGGGACAAGAAATGGCAAATTATATAAATTCAAACTTCATTTTTTCGGGGAGGAGGGAAACAAAATGAGTATCACTATTCTTGATATAAGGCATACGATTTTTCATTAAATTTGAAAACAAAAAAACAAAACAAAACAAACAAATATGCCATACTTCTACTCCAAAAACTGCAAGATCCACCAAATAAAAAGGACCAGCAAAGTTAAACAAAGGAAACACATTTTGGGAGACGGGAAATAACCAAGGTGAAAGTAGAAATAATCTAATTATAAAAGACAAAGATGGCATTATCTTCGTTACCAGAATCCTACAAGGAAGATCTCTAACACCTATGAGAGTAGTACCATCTAGATTAAGGAGAAGAATAAAGCAATGGCAATGACAAAATTTCAATTGCCCTACGAATAAGTTGGCAACAGGAGGCACTCATCAAAAAAGCACGCATATTACCATTTCAAGTCAGGCACAAAGGAATTACTTACAGAATACAAATATTCCACAGCTCTCTCGGGGTTATTATAAGCAGCACGAAGGGCGCAGACAAAAGTATCCCTATCCCAAGTCCCTCCGCCCATATCAAGAATCTGCTGGACTGCTCCTTCTAAGTTACTTCCTGCAACCAGATTTGATGCCGCTTGTCCATAAACATCAGATTCTAACCTCTTTCAAAAGACATTATTCAAGAGATTAAGAAACAAAACACGTGGAACTTTCCTATTTAAAGCAACAGAAGACAGATGAAATCAAAAGCATGCTTCCAGTCCTTCAAAAAGCATGAAGTTATTATCGTAGAATAAGTTACGCACGCTATAGTAGTTGAAGCAACTGGACTAGATTCAGCTACAGGTGCAGGTGTAACCCTGAAAAAGAGTTGATAAGAAATAATCCACAATGGAGCCATTGCATCCTAACTAGTGAAGAATAGATAGACATACATAGCTGAAATTGCAAGTGGAGCGGTAGAAGCTGGTTCTGGAGCCACTGGCGGTACACTTGCCTGGGGAGTAAAAGAGATAAGATTTTATCAACTATGAGAAAAGAGAAAGAAATATTTCCATCTAAAACCATTACTCAACAACCTGCATATAAGCACACAATCCAGAAGAGACTATCCAAAAATCACTCCATACTTTAGGGGGAATAAACACATTTCTATTCATGCTCATAAAGAAACTTGAAGATCAAAATTCACATAATGGTTCTGTGAGAGTGAATAGCTAAGTTATAACAGATTCACACACTGTGGCATTAAATAGATCAAAAGGAAAATTAACTAATTAAACTGTTCTAGTGGAGTCCATGAAGAGAGAATAGGATAGCGGCCATTTATTTGTTGATATGATATTAGAAGGGAAGAGAGAGAAAGCCAAGAGGGAACCAAGTAACTCAGATAAGAGATTAGGTAACTAACTCAAAAATGTTAAAAGGGGGACCAAGTTAGTAATAGAAAAACTAAGATTTCAACATTTTGCAATTTGTTTACCACTCAATAGTACAAGTAAGATAGTAAGCATTTGGATACAAAACAACTCAACCATGTGCCATATCTGAAAAACTTAAAGCACTGCTATTCACCACCTACAACATTTAATGATTTAAACATATACAATTACATTAATCCAAGCTGCCTTCTAATCAGTCGTCACAGCATTGAACAGAACATCCTCCACCAGGAGAAAAAAATCCTAATGCCTTTTTCAGTTCATGTTGAATGAAAATGTCTTTTCAGTGATATAGATAAAAAATCACAGCAGAATAACTGCTGACAAGCAATTATGCATAAAGGTAATTAATATTCAGAAAAGATAATGGAAAACGCAGCAAGAGAGCTGGCAAAATTATAGTCTTACTTTAGTTGTTGGAGTTGTTGAACCAGTTGCACAATCACCAGATGAACCCTTATTCTAGCATAAGAGAAAACAATGTAGGATTAGTACCAAACTGAAAATAATTAACATAAACAATGTAAGAGAAGTTTTGTTTCTTGTTTAGTAACAAATTGACATTTTGTAACATGCAACTAAGCCGAGGGAACAACCAGATTTCAAAAAATTTAATGGCACCATACTCCATCCTAAATCAAAACTAAGATAACTTCTGAATCAAACAGCTACATGAAAAACTGTGTCAGTTTAGGCATTTATTACAAGTAAGCAAGCATAACAGGCCAGCAAGGTTAGCAAGAGTTAGAGAAATAGAGGGGGGAATGGGGGAAATAACTAATTTCACCTTTGCCAACATGATCACTATAAAGCTATTTTCAGCACTATTCTCAGACAGTGTCGTCTCATCTTTAAGAACTTTGCCCTTATGGATAAGCATTTGTTGTGCAGCAGGATACACTTGTGCTCCTTGAACAGTTTCTATTTTCTTTTTGACATTACCTACCTGGAAGAAAACTCACAAATATTAGTTGCAGAATTGTAGAAAACCACAATGATAAAGTAAAAGGCAGCTGCACCAAGCATTATATCCCAAGACATACCTAGGCATGACTATAATTGCAAAAAAGAAGGCATAAAAAACAATTAAAATAATAACAGTCCGTCAAAATAATAGGATATCCACGACCTTTGAACAAAAAACCCCTAGATTATGGCTAAACGCATAATGCAGGACTTTATTCTCATTCTGTCTAACAATAGCACCTTGTGTACAGAAATTTATTAAAAACAACTGGTGTACTTCAATCTGGCAATCACATAATTTAAAAAAGTTCAGTCCCAATAAAAGACCATTTCAGAAATGAATATTAGCATATTTCTGTGTTCAATGTTTGTGTATTTTCCACTTGTACCTTATATCTTGTATGATGGAACTACCATTGACATGGAAATCTATATATTCTTATTAAAGGACAGAAGTAAATCAAAGAATCAAGCAAAACTAAAGCCCGGAAACAAAATATTATTCACTACTTTCGGCAAACTACTAGCACATTCCGACTTCCTTCAGAAAAATATTGACAACACTTCCAATGCCTCTTCCAACATGGAAATTGATAAATTACACATAATTATCAATTCATCCAGAAGATAAAATACTTCCATTCTAACTGGAGGAGTATCAATTCACTGGGATAAACTAGGCAAACCCTCCCAACAAAATAAATGAACACATTCAATCAAACAAATACGGAAACTAAACAAATTATCATTTGCGATCGCCGATTTAAATTTCACTAATTCATCCACGCGCGTAATAATCCAAATGATATCAACGAATTGTAAATTGTACGGTCCTACATAAACCCAATTTGGTGTTCAAAAATTGGGGTAAAACATAAAAGGACAAGCAGGAAAAAAAACTAGCAGGAACGACATGAAGATTGTAAAAACAAAAATGAAATGAAAAATTAATTTAAAAAAAAAAGAAGCTAACCGCATCTTCGGGTTTGACTTCTATATCGAAGTGAGTGCCTTTGAGAGCTTTGATGAAAATCTTCATCTTCGATCGCACTTATTTCCTTTTTTTTCTCTGATTAAAATCTGCCAATATTATTTATAGCTGAATAAAGAAGAACGTTGGCAAGTAAATAATATCTGAATATCTAAGCAGCTTCAAATCTAAAACCTACATGTGCATTCGCTTCTATGCTTTTATATAGGAAACATAGGATTTAAATTCGAGAATTTATATATATATATATATAACTTTTATTGGAAAGGTTTGTATATCAAAATCAAATATACGATGTAGATTTATTCGAATTAATTAAAGTGAAATTTCGAAACCAAGAGAAAAAAAATAGATTAAATATATCGAACGGTGATGAGTCCACTAACCTGGCCAAAATAAATTTTATATTTTCTTCATAAATTGAACGGCAAAAAATTTTGGATAATGTGATGAAATTGAAAATTCATCTGAAGTAGAAAGGAAATTATTTTTGGGTAAACTACTCTAATGGTCACTAATGTTTAGGTAAATTTTTGTTTTCACCACTGATGCTTAAAAAGTTACAAATTATCAGATTATTATTGTTTAGCCCCAGATTTTGCATGAGACTTTACAGTCCCATCCAACAAAGATAAAGATAAGCCTCACAGCACAATTGTACACTTTGGGGACCTTTTTGTGACACATGGAAAAATAAGATGGTATAGAGGAAACAAGGGACGGCTTCTTTAATTTTTCTTGTCTTTCTGTTACTTAAATCTTCTCCCTTTTGGTGTACCTGCAAGCAAAAGGATTATCTTTTCTTTCTTTTCTTTTTCTTGGGTTCTGATCAACAGCAACAAAAAGAGTAGATTAAAACTCAAGTTAATTTGTTTCTTTAATGTTATGAGAGTTGACCCATCACATAAAAGCATGTGATTTGCCCTCAAGAATCCTTTAAACAGAATATAAACTCTAAATGTCCCCATAAGGTCAATGCCATCAACATTATGTTCGAATTCGGACTTACATATGATCGATAGTAAATTCGAACTTTTTTTCAACAAGGAAATGCATGAAAGAATCAAAACCCATTACCTAAATTTGGTGAAGAAAACCCTACATTTCCACATTAGGAACATGCATGTACACTTCATAGTCCCATTTGAATTACATTCAAAAACTGCAAAATAAAACACAGATGATGAAAGGGTTTCTTTTATATGATGTAATGACAATGATATGGGAAGAAGAAGTACTGGATGACAGCAGAGTCAAATGAAAAATAAATATATTTTAATTTATTAAAATTAGGATCAAATTGAAAGAATATATAAATAACATGGACTATTTGTGTAATTATACCATCCATGTAAGCCTGTTAACTGCTGTTAATAGGCCACGTCTGTTTTCCGTCACGTCTGTTAACGGCGAGTGACCAATTTGTAACAAACGATAACGTTAGTGAATGATTTGTAACTTTTGAAACATTAGCGGTGAAAACAAAAACTTACCCAAACCTTAGTGACCGTTGGAATAGTTTACCCATTATTTTTTATATCGAGTGATTGTTACAGTATATATCTACGTCTTTTAGAAGAAGTTCGGATGACATAATATCTTTAGTAAGGTTATAATATTATAGATTTTTGAGCATTCATACAGTTAGGATAAAGAGGTTATGTAGTCTAAGGTGGTGTTTGTTTTTGCAGAAGTAAAAGTCTGTAGTCTGCGGACCACATCTGCAGGCATCTACAGCAGAAGAGGTGGACCAAAAGTCTGCAGTCTGCAAGAAGAAGACTGTTTGTTTTTTAACGTCTGCAGACTGCTAAAATAAACTGAAATATAAATAAACTGATTTTTTAACTATACTCAAATAAACATTTTTGCTATTAATTTTTTAAAAATTATAAAATGTCATTAAATTTAATGAATTATTACAAAATAGTCACTATAATGTTGTAATAAATTATAAAAGTTCGATAATATAATAATTATTTTATAGTATTTAGATAAATTTATTAATAATTTTATAATCTTTTAATAAATTTAATAAATATTTTATAATTTTTTAAACTTTATTGACGAAAATGATCATTTGTATACAACTCAACGATATCTAGTTTACTTTATTTGAAAAAATATATTAAATAAATATTATACGAATTTTATTATTATAAATTATTACATCTACGGACTATTAGATTTTGGTTTTAATATTATATATTATTTTAAAAATTATTATTAAATCAATCGGTAATGAAATTAATTTGATTTTAATTCAATCTCTTTGTTTCGGTTTAAGTAATTGTTAAAAAATTATATTTTAATTCTCAATTATTATCGATTCACAAATATATCAATACTCGATTTTATAATATCATTTAAATCATCTTAATTTATTCGAGTGGTACAATCTGATTCTAGTAACATCAAAAAAAATATATATATACTCCATATAATATACATCAATTAGTATTTTTCTATTTAGAAAAAATATATTATTTGTTTTTTATTTATTTATTATGTATAAAGGGACTTTCGTACTTTACCAGAATTAAATGATAAGAATCAGATTTTTCAATAGTGTGAATATTTTTTTATTAAAACATTTATTTTGTCTTTTAATGCTAATAATTGTATGTCCCCGTGATTTTCTAAGTTTTTATATAAAAAAAGTTTACTAAGTTTAATTGTATAATATTTTTTTACTAAGTTTAATATATTTTTTCAAATAAGTATATTAGATATCGTTAAGTTATATACAATTGATCATTTTCGTCAATAAAGTTTAAAAAATTATAAAATACTTATTAAATTTATTAAAAGATTATAAAATTATTAATAAATTTATCTAAATACTATAAAATAATTATTATATTATTGAACTTTTATAATTTATTAGAACATTATAGTGACTATTTTGTAATAATTCATTAAATCTAATGACATTTTATAATTTTTAAAAAATTAATAGCAAAATGGTTCTTTGAAGAGGTTAGAAGAGTTTTGAAGATATAAGTCCACGTCTGCATCAAGAAGAGGACGCGCAGACGTTAGAAGAGCTTCTGTTTTCTAAAAAAATGGTCTGCGAAGCTCAATGTCTACGTGTGGTCTGCGCGGCACAGACATAAGGGCTTTGAAGACCTTAAACAATGAAAACAAACACCACCTAAATGTTTTTCAAAAAAAATATTATGTCATCCTAGCAACTTTCGACGTGTATTGTAATAATAATATTGCTTGAGGAAATAATTCTACACACAACCTATATAGAAAAGAAAATAAATCCACATGGACAATTTGACGAAATTAAACTATAACTTTTCATTTTGATAACTAATAAAAAATTAAAAATATATTCTGTACCTTTATTGATTATTCTTTATTATTTTAAAAAATAATTTGTTATTATACAATTTAATATAAAATGAAATTATTTTTTATGATGTATTAAATTAGTATATTAATATAAAATGAAATTATTTTTTATGATGTATAAAATTAGTATATTGTATACATTGAAATAGATAAATTATTTTAATATTATTAAACATTTCGATAATAAATTATTACATGTTTTTTATATGTTTAAATATTAATTTAAACAAACTATAATGTTTACGAAAAAAATAAAATTCAAATTAAATAAAAGATTTATTTGAATATAAATTAAAAAAAAAACAAATGCAAAATATTTGGCGTTTGCTAAACAGGACCACTTATTAGGGATGAACAATTAGATTCTATTTATATTATTTAAATTTTGAATTATCCGAGTTAATTTAAATTTTAAAGTTCGAGTAACTGAGAAAATTAAAATTAAAATGATATTATTTTGATACATAGCTAAGTAATTTAATTGTTTTATAATTTGGTCCATAATTTTTTATTTCTTCAATTTCTTATTTGTTTTAAATTCACTTTAACCAAATTTAAACCCATACTCCTCAATCACTATATAATATCTATGTAGATTTAATTTCTCTTTTTGATAATAAATTTCATTTATTAATAATTTAGTTCCTTAATTTTGCATAATTTCATTGTTATTTTTAATTTTTCTTCATTTTAAATTTATTTTACTAAATTTGAACTATATGCTCCACTACTTATAATATGTGTAACTTTAATTTCTGTTTTGACAATAAATTACTTTTTTAATTTATTCCCCCAACTTTTCATTTTATACAATATGATCCTTTGATTACAACTCTTTACAAATTCTTTCTTTCCATCAATTTTTTGACTCATTTATATTTTCATAAATATTTTCCTCAAAATATCTTCTTTGAAAAATATTACTATAATTATATTATATAGTTTTAGATTATTTGTTAAAAAATATGAAGAAATATATATGTTTATCATATATGGTTAAAGAGAATTGTTTAAATTAAAACCATTTAGTATCGTGATATTATAAATAATTATATTTAATTTTGAATAGAAACTCAAACAAATATATTTGATTCGACTCGAATTTCATAAACTAGACTTAAAAATAATTCAAATAATATTTGAAAGATAAAATGAAACTCATAAACTCGAATAACTTGAATTTCATCCACTCGACTCGATCAAGTACTCATCTTATCATTTGTATTTAATTCTTTTTCATTCAATAAAAAATTATTTTTATTTATTCATATAATATTATATAAAATTAATTAATACATTAAATTTAAGAAAATTATTTGATACACAGATAATGTAAACTTTAATTTACACAAGTCTGCCAATTTTTTTAAATCTCACTTTCTACCTTTACAAATTGAGGCCCCTAATTTTTTTAATCTCACTTTTTTCATTTACAGTTGAGGCTCGTAATTTTTTTAGTCACACTTTTTATTTTCATAAATGAGACCCCTAATTTTTTTAATTCCATAAAATTCTCAATTTCTCATCTTTTTTCCATCTCTCTCATTAATTCATTTAATTTCGAATTAAATCAAATCATATTTTTTTTTTCAAATATCGCATACTTAAGTTTTTCAAATATTCTTTAGTCTTCTCCAATCTCAATCTAACTGTAAAATAATACACTATTCTTTATTTTATTTATTTATTATTCAAAATCAAGATCAATATCATACTCACATTTAAA